TCAAAGTTTGATGCAAAAACGCATGATCGCACCGGCTCGCCTGGTGCGTTCCAGCCTGGGTTTAATGCTTCTTTTAACGTCCACATTCACAAAACTCATACGTATACATATGTGTTTATAAATTTGGATGCGGTAACGTGGATTCGGGCTTTTCACGGGTAAAATCATCTTTTACGTTTCCCTTACGGACATTGACGATTTTGGTTTTTAGTTGCAATGTTGAATTTTTTCCCCTATACATTTTGGCAAGTCGGCAGAGTTCTTGCATTTTCGGATGCATTTTGACAAGCGTAGTACAACGGAAGTTTCATGTTAGCCTATGCGCAGGTTATCGAAAGGATTGTCTTCTGTATTGTGCTAATAAATAGCCGAATAAACCTCTGGATAATGAGTAATAACAATAATAGTATGTTATAGACATCGAAAGTTTATGCATGTTTATGGGAAGGCTGTAAAAGAGAAGAAGCCTTCAAAGCGCAATATATGCTTGTTGTACATGTTCGACGACACACAGGCGAAAAACCGAATGTCTGTACGGTAAGTTTTTTTTTTTTTCATATCAGCATCACAGCTTTTAGATTTTACTCTTTTCCAGATATTGTTCTTTTGGAACTTCAAGAAAATAAAAATTTTAAGATTTCGAGTATTCGGACGAAATTCTTCCCTAAACATTTTTTTCCCAAAAATTTCCTGAAAATTGGACTGTAATTTTTTCTCCCAAACTAATTTCAGTATCCTGGCTGTGACAAATCGTACAGTCGGCTAGAAAACTTGAAAACACACGTACGAACACATACTGGTGAACGGCCATATCGATGTGAATTCCCAGAATGTGGCAAAGCGTTCAGCAATGCATCCGACAGAGCCAAGCATCAAAATCGCACGCATTCCGATACTGTAAGTAACACTTTGTGCTTGCTTTTTCTCTCATTTTAGTATAGCAATTGGATTTTTTAATTTTTTTGCAAATCTCACAGAGGCATGAGGGAAAAAATAATATGTAGATTGGTTATATTCACTTTTTTATTTCGCATGACCCGTACTCCTGGTTTTTGGCTTCCATAGGAACTAAAAAACGTATTCTGTCGAAAATATTAACTTTCTGAGTGATGTAGTGGCCACTGTTGAGGATTTTCTTTTATCGGACTAAAAGGGGGCTCACATACTATATTTTCCGTAGTTCGGAGAGGTTGTTGAAGCAGTTTTGTCATGTGAATTTATGAAATAATTTGAGTTGGTTCCAGAAACCTTATCAATGTATGGTCAATGATTGTGTAAAAAGTTACACGGATCCATCGTCGTTGAGGAAACACATCAAATCGGTGCATGGCGATGAAGCTTATGAAATGGCAAAGAAAAATAAGGTTTATCCAAGGCGTCGAAATGGTACAGCTTCGGATGCGCCTCAGTCGGCGGCATTAAAGTAAGTTCTGCGTCTTAACTGTTCTTTTTTTTTCTGAACTTTCTGTATATTTCAGGCTTACATTTCCTTGCTTCTTTAAACATATATTTTTCCGTAAGCAATCTGGAAATTAAAGGCAGTGTAATGGAAGAGGCAGAGAGGGAAGAAAAAGGGATGAGTATGAAACAGCAGAGCGTTTTTGCACAGCATTGCTCGCATGCCTAACTGTTTTTGGTTCAGACTGTCACAAGTGGTTCTCGAAAGAAGGCGATTGCGGCTGATCAGGCATCGTGATTACGACCTTCAAAATTATAACTGGTGAAATGCACATCTCGCCAAACACAGATCCAACACT